TCGGGAAATTTGTGTTACAGCAGCAAGAAAGTCAAAATGCACATCGATAAAATAAGTTGCATGTAATACTTTGTGCTTGTAATTCAGGACTGTAGGAGCTGACACTTAAGTGTGCAAAATATAAAATGGAAGGAGACCTAAGAAAAATATTAAAGATATAAATGGGAGTAAAAAAGGAATATACTGTGTAAACAGAATATGTACAGTGAAATGGATTGCACATTAGCCATTGAATTTCAGACAGAAATGAATATTGCACATAAAAAGTGAATCTGGGTTAAAGTGCAGAAGTCCATTTAAGGTGTCTACTCAGTGGGAGCAGACCTGCGATACCTCTCCCTGACTCCACTCAGGGTGATGGTGTCCTGCAGGTAATGGGACTGGTTGTCCGTCAGAGAAGACAGCTTCGGACATATGTGTTGACGCAGACATCACTGAAGATGTTGAGCTCCACTTCCGACATCATTTCACAGCTCACACAGCAGCAGATCTTTCTGGGAACATTACAGGAACAGGTGCTGCCACCGTGTGGAGGGAAACTATCAGTGGAGGAGGACACCCCGACACAAATAGGACAGAAACCCAGCTACAGTTTTCATGCACTTCTTTAATATATCAGTTTTTCATATTCACAACAAATACATTAAGCTTTTTCTTCATATGATACAGCCTTAAATAGTTTTTACACTCAACTGGTTTTCTCAGAAGTCTGCCTATCAAAACATCTTTTAATCCTTCATTTTCAACATTTTATCATTTGTTACATTTGTGGTCTCCATGCCTCCTAGCAAACTGACAGTATTTCCTTTGTACAACTATTTACAGGTGAAACAAAACATAACAAAAAAAAGTTCTCCATAAAGTTTTTTTTTTTTCATGATAGTTCTCAGTTGTGGGGTTTAAGGTGCAGGCAAGGAGAAGACAGGAGGGGAATGTGTCTGAAGAGAAAAAGGGGGAATGAAGAGGGAGAAAGGCTGTGCGTTAAGTGGAGGAGAAGAGAGTGAGAGGGTGAGATCAGAGGAGGGCGGCGGAGGAGAGCCAGTCTTGTTAACTCTCTGGTTTAGCAGACGGACATCAGAAAACGTCTTCATTTCTACGGAGAATAAATACAGCGTTTTTAAAGCTGTTTACTTCCTCGATGAAAATGTGAAATTTAACATAACACCTTCATTTGTTCCACTCGGGATAACGCACTAGAACAAGCCAGCAAGTAAACTTTGAGCTGAGGTCGCTTCGTCAGCTGCTCTTCGTGACGTCAAGAATAAACCGCCGTGGTTTCATTTTAGCCGGCGTGAACAAGAGGGACTTGATTGGAATCATCAAAGTTTGAACATCTGCATTTGTCAACTGCTCGGCGTGCTGGAGAAAACCATGAGATGCAGTCAACAGCTCCAAGACGAGCACGTGAGAGGACCAACTTCTAGTGGGATTTCTCCACGCAGACAGTTTTGGTTGCATGTGTTAAGGTTTGGAGACAACAGCATGCTCCCACCAGACACACTGGAAGTGGACAGAGTTTACTTGCTTTACAACCTTATTCGGCACTCTTAATTCATTTTGTGTAACTTTCTCAAGAATCTAAATTCTAGAAAGAATAAAGTTAGATTCAGTGGCTGACAGTGGCTTCCTCTCTAAACTGCCTCATGTCTAAATGTCCCCTGCAGATTCCTGCCCCAGTCCTCACACTCTGAACTGTCCTTCATGTGAATGTGTCAGTGGCTCTGTGGTCCAGGGCTTGGAGATGTGTATCCTCGAGCTGTAATGACCGTAGCCTGCGTCAGAGCCCTGACTTCATGAAAAATAAATATATATATATATATATATATATCTGTAAAGCCATAATTATAGCTCTGAGGCAGAGGAGAGAATTAAATCAGGTTTCTGAGTCTGTTAGCAGAATGTAATGATTAAATTTAGAACCCTTGACCAATTACCTCATCCTCCAATTCCACCTACATCTTTATCTTTATCTCCAAACTCTTAGCCTTTCATGACCAGGGCATTGTTGTCTCTCTAATGTCTCAAAGTCTCCTTCAAAACCGGAACTCAATGGTTTTTCTTCAGCGGCTTAGTGAAGCTAAGGATAGAGATGAACGTCACTCATACCAAAGGCGTTATACGAATGGCAGATATGTAATATTTACGAGACCAATACTGTTTCTAAGTACGAGTCGTTAGAATGTACAGTCTATGAAAGAGTATTACAAACCAAACCTATGTGGAGCGTAAACTCCCCTGGTGAAAGCACATAACCCGAGCTGTTCCCCAAATAACACCAACTCTGGCCGACACTGCTGAGACAATGACAATTTTCACAGCAGATCATTATTGTTATTTAGTGACGACAGTCAATAATTTGCTCAGCAACATTAGTATTCTGTTTAAAGTTGTGTCTCTAGTCACAAGGTGGATGTTCACTCTATTTTTGGTCTCCACCAACACCTGAGAGAGAAATCTCTATTTCCATTGAAATGAACTGGATATTTTCAGCTTGAATAATCGCCTCCTGTGTCGGAACAGTATTTTGAACTTTTAATATTTAGCTTGATGTCCCTGCTCATCACCTGAGCACGATGCTGGGAATGATCACCAGAACAAGAGCTTGCATTCACCAGTAGATGCCAGGCTTCACACACATTTGGGTTTGGATACTCTTCAAGTTTAAGCCACACTTGCATGTTCAATATGCTTCTTGTGACACGTTTCACGAGCTGCTCTGTGACTAAAAGGTCCAAATTCCAGGAGGTGTGCGATCCAGGACCGGGATAAGCTGTAAGACTGCCCCGGGTCAGGGCTAGCAGTTTCCCCCCCCGCTTCCAGTCTTTGTGCTAAGCTAGGCTAAACTTGTTGCAGCCCCTATCTCCATCATAGACTTGCAAAGATGGGACTTGTGGGAAAGATGATGAATAAGTGTATCCCCCTCACAAGCCGGACAGTTCCATACAGAGGTTGGAGGGGAAGGGGGGGTTAGTTCATGTTTATGATGGAAAGACATGATCCATGATGAATGTGAAGAACCAGTTTGTCGTATTTGGATGGACGCTTCAACTGTGTGCTCTACCTCCAAAACATCCATTCATCAAGCCAGTAGTCTCATTTTCTCAGCTCCCATCACACACGGTGACATACTCGGCTCCTGGAGGCTTTATCGAAGAGTCATTCTCGGCAAAAATATTCATACTTGGGCCTCGGCGGATGACTCATGCATTAGATGGATTTTAGGTCATCAGCTCTGTATGTCACAATTTAGTCTTCAATAGAAAAAAAAAACTAAAGTCAAGGCAAGTCGCTCATTTGCTTCGATCCATCTCATCTCTACAAAGTGCAAGTACACGAGTCACAAAGACTAAAACAAGCGTCTAAAGAAAGACAGAGCGTCAAATAAAGCGGTTCTGAAAATTAATCAGTCAAACAAAAAAGATTCACATAAATAAGTAAATATCTGCAGGCCTGCCTGTACAGAAAAAGGCAAACAATGACAATAAAAAAAAAAAAAAAAAAAAAAAAAGAACGTGTAACACCTACAACACACGCTGGAATGAAAAGAGTTACAGGTGCATGTGTGTAGAAAAGGTTAAAAAGGTGAAAGGACATTTCAGAACTTTTTTTCAAGACAAACAGAACCTGCCAGAAGACCACGTGTCCTTTCAGCAGATCACGCTGCAGCTCATTGGTCAGCAGCGGCAACAAGTAAGGTCCCCCCCGTCTTAAGCAGAGTGCAATATTAAAGCCACGTGATCGAAAAAACAAAAGAAAGACATGCACTTGGTGTCACAAAAGAAAGTAGAGGTTGGGTTCAGTGGGGGGAAAAAGCATCAGAAGCGAATGAAAAGCTTTGTTGCAAAGATGCTGTGTAACAACTTACTGTACACACTCTTTAGCTCAGTATAAACTCCGGGCAGCAGCTTGGCTTAGATTAGGCATTTTAAAGAAAAAAACCTTGTTTAGCTTCCTTCATCTATCCAGCCTTCATCTTCCTTCATGACCCGTTAAGAGTTCTCAAATGGAAGCCACACAAATAACCACTTCCAATGAAATCATCTGAAAAAGGTAGAGCGTCTCCGTCGAATTATCCAACATCCCAACATCTTGCAATTGGAAACCAATCAAATCAGATAACTCCGACATGTTCTTTTTAGATGGATTAAGAAATCGCGTTGTTTCCAGCATAACCACATAAATTAGCATTTTTTCCTCCCGAAGAGCAGCTTCTGTGCTCAGGACTCCTGCAAATCTGCTTCTCCTGCTTTCGCATGCACAATCTATTCCAGAGATAAAGAGCTGCGGCCGCTTCATCACAGGCGTTGACTTTGTTGGAGGCAAACAAGAAGGCAAAACTCAGTATTTTGCAGAATTTGGTCAGCATTAAGCCCAAAGGGTCAAAAAAAAAAAAGGGCCAGTGCTGCATGACACACAGCTACCATCTCCTCTTTGAGAAAGACAGAAAAAGAGCATCTTTCCTAGCAAATGCTAGCTTTAAACAGGAGAATCAAATGAAAAAGTAAAAATAGATCTATCTTTCAAGTCATCGATCTTCGGGGGAGGGGGGGTTTTAACCCTTGCCCAGTGATCTCCAGCTCTCGTCAGGAAAGGGCGGCGCCCGACCTTCCATCTCTACCCCGTCAGATGGGAGCGCTGCGTCTCCTTCCACAGGCCCCGTTCTGCCGTCACTCCAAGTGCAGGTTCGGAGGCCCGGCTGAAAAAAAAAACAGCCCCCCCCCCCTCCTTGTTCGCACTGGAAATGACGAGATGAGCGGCATCCACAGCCTCGACTTCTCCTGACGTTCCTCCGCCGTCTTCCCTTCATTGTCGCCTTCAACTTTTCCCTCCAGCAGGCGGGAAAACGGTTTTGGTATGGATTTTTTTTCTTCGTTTTGTGTCGTTCAAGTTGCTTTTTTTTCTTTTTGTTCTTTTTTTTCTTTTCTTTTATTTGTCCTAATTCAGTTTTCAGTGTGGCTGACTGCAGGGCAGCTTTTGGTTGTCTTCTTTATGTTCTTTGAGACAAATTTTTCTTTTTTTTTTTTTCAGTAATGAATCCACCGCAGAGACACAAGACTTTTGAGAAGTGACGAGGGATGGAGTGGTGGGATCTGCAGCACTTACTTAAATGCTGAAAACTCCCCTGAAAAACAAGAAAGACATAGAGAAAATAAATGTGTGAGCTCTCTAACAGCCACGGTTCTGCTGCTTCCAACACTTTATTCTTCAGAGGACTAGATTCCTCCTGGTGGCTGTGAAGTCAGATGTTTGTGTATGTGTGTGTGTGTGTGTGTGAGCTCACCATAGCCACCGGCCTGGATGGGGGTTTTGGGTGAGGCGCAGGCGTACAAGCTGAAGTCCTCTGTCTGAAACCCGGCTCGGTTTAACGAAGGCTCCGAGGCGCTGCGGTGGATTTTGGGTAACGAGCGAGCCAGCAGTTCGATGGACGCTAGGATCTGTAAGAATACAAAGTGCGGCCGCAGATTCATCAGTCACCGCCGATGTTCTCTGTTAACAGCATTTAAACGAAAACCAAAAAAAATACTGTGAGCTGTATCGTAATCTGTTTAAGTGACATGCTCCCAACAGGGGGAGCAGTGGGGAAGTTTAACTGGAATGAGAGCTCAGCAGAAACAGAGGGATGCCTTCTGCCCTTTGAGTAAATGTGGGGCTTTAGAAAAGAAGAAGTGTCTCTCAGCCTGTTGAAAATAAATATCTACAAGGGCTAAGCGATTGGAGGAATATATCGTCTACCGGCTATTGGCTGAGTCCACTGTTAGTGATTTTATTTCGCTGATAATGGTTTTCCTCCAAGAATGAATTCAACTGTATAAATGCTTAACCTGCGAACTGGCACATATATTATATACATGTTTATTCTTCATTCAGTCTATCCTGATTCCATTCTCCCTCTCTCTGTTCTCACTTTTCTTAAATGAGTTACATCTTTCTTCGTAGCGGCACACATTCATTCTTTTATTCACCCCCTCCTGAATCCGCTCCCTCTCTCACTCTTGCGCTGACAGGCAGACACACACCCACACAACCACTGTGTTATCAGACACATGAAAACCCAAGTGTTCACGCACACAGGGCAGGGAAATGAGGTCTGATCATCTGGTGTGTGCCCGTGCACTGTATATGTTGCTGGGTTGATGAGGGTAGTTTAGAGTTTTTAAATTTGCTCAGGTTCCATCCTGACAAATGTATGCATCTGCCGTTTTTCCCAATGAAATAAAAGCAGGAACATTTATTTCTGACCTGAGGGAAGAGAGGGCGCTCCTCCCTCTTCTTCTTCAGACAGTCGGCCATCAGCCTCTTCATGGCCTTTGGACAGTTGCTGCGCACTTTGCTGAGGTCAGGAGACAAGTAACCTCGACCCACCATGAATATGATCTGTGGGAGGAGGAGAGAGGAGGCGTCAGAATGTGTCCACAGAGATAAAACTTCACTACATGTCTTTGTTTAGTAAATATGTTATTATGGCGTGTTTGGTAGGGGCTTATATTGTTTTACAGTAATCAGTGTATTCCTTGTAATCAGTGTATTCCTTATGGTGGAGTAACAATTCGTTATTCCATTATTGACAAAATATTCAATGGCAGCTGCTCCAACTGTGTATTGAGCTTGTAGATGGCGTGGAATCATTTGTTTAACATTGTCGTGGAGTAGAAACACTTAAAAACAAGAGATCAGCACATTTCAGCTAAATGGAATTACAACGCCACTGTCAGACTTTAAGTCCAATAGACTAATAAACTGTTGAATCCACCACCAGCAGTTCTACAGTTCCCCCGTGCTTTCATTTTTCATGATCTTATTTATCTAGCCGGCGTACAAAGATTTAATTATACCAAAGCTTATTGTTTGTGGTGTTTAATAATCCGAGTACGACAGCCAGTTTATTCACAGTAGTGTTAAATTAAAACAAGACTGAATGAAACAGCCACACTGTAAATTAACAAGTATTTATGTTTCTGTACGGATAAATCAAAAATTATGACAATGTGTGAAACGTGATATTAAAACAAATCTTTATTTCTTACCTGGTCTCGGTTGTTGATGTTGGAGTAGGGCAGCGCTCCTGACATGAGCTCGTACAGCACGATGCCGAAGGCGTAGACGTCTGACTGGAAGCTGTAGGGATTCTTGTCCTGCAGCCGGATCACCTCTGGGGCCTGAGAGAGCAGAAATAGTAAATGGTCTTTTATTTATATAGAGCTTTTTTCAGTACAGTTTGGCCATCGACACATTCACGGCGCATCTATGTGCAGCACTTTCTCCGTCATACATCACTCACACATTAGCAGCACAGCAGGTAGAGCATCTCGCCCAAGGACACTTCCACCAAAAATCGAATCAGTTCATCGTTGAGTTCAAGTGAATGTTTGTAGAAGATATAAAGAAATAGCCCTAAGGCGTTCTCGACATATCATGTTCACAAGGATGTGACGATCAGACAACACGAAAATATAATGTCTCCAGCCACTTGCTGTCGACGGCGCAGAGGTCTAATAAAATAAAAGACAGAGTGAATATAAGTGTTACTGACCATCCACAGAATAGATCCAGACAGCTGCTCAAACTGGTGGGAGCCACTCCAGCGGGACTTCACTGTAGCCAGGCCAAAGTCACCGATCTTAACCGTCAGATCCTCATGGAGGAAAATATCTGGGAGGGGAGGTCGTCATGGAAACACTCACTTTTCCATAGCTATGATCTTTGCCATGTCGGCGCACTGAATTCTAGGCAGAGTTAATATTTTCATTGCAAGGCGCCGTACAAGCAAGTTTACTTTGGAGGACTTAAAGGACTCGGCCTAAAGCTGGACTTGACTCAGTGACATGAAGTGACAAAGGATACTGTTGCTCTTCAAATCTCTGTGGATGATTGATTTCGCATGCAGGTAGCTGAGGAGGAAGAGAAGAGGAATTAAACACACTGCTGACTCTGTGAGACTGTTCTGTGTGTGTGTGTGTGTGTGTGTGTGGAGGTGGCACTCACTCCATGCCCTGAGCAGTCTGCCGGGCGATGTCGATCAGCTTGATCATCTCAAACTTGGTCTCGATGATGTGTAGGTGGTGGTACAGACTGGAGCCTTCACACCACTGGGTTACGATGGCCAGCTGAGGCTTGGTGGTGTAGCCCATGAACAGCAGGATGTTCACGTGACGCGTTTTCCTTCAGGGAGACACACAGGTCGATGAAACTACACAGCCGCACGTGTTTCGTGTGGCTGTTTATTTCTAAAAAAAAAAAAAAGGGAACACCCGATTCTCCTCATCGCAGACTAGGGGAGCGGAAGTTACCTGAGGACTCCCACTTCGTTCTTGAAGGCCTGGAGCTGTTGTGGCGTGGGCGCGGTGACGTTCAACATCTTCACCGCCACGTCACCTGAGAGGAGGAGAGGACGCATGGTTCTCAAATACTGCAAGATGGCTCCGTCCACAATGTTGGAGCATTTCAGAAATCTCACAAAGACGTATGAAAAGTACATGAAACATCTGGAACACACTAAGAAACAGACCACGTCTGTATTGTTTGGATTCCTTATCTTAATTTCCTCCCTTGTACGACTTAATTTGCATATAGAGCAGAGAATAGTAAAAGGACTATTTTTGGAGGTGGATTAATCCACACTGGGTGCTCTAGTAAGTATCTCTATCTATGGTAACATGGATGTTTATGTAGGATTGAGCCAATAAAAACGGTGTGTGTTCATGGTAATGAAGCAATAGAATAGTGGTGTAAACTGCTTCCTTACCGCAGGGTGGTGGTCTGACAGTAGGGGGTGCTGTTGCTCTTACCATGCCACTTTCCCTTGAAGACAGTTCCAAAGGATCCAGAGCCTATCCTCTGACCCAAAGTGATCTGACCCTCTGGGATTTCCCAGTCATCGCTGGAGTCCCTTCTGCCCAGGGTTTTCTGCTTCACAGGAAACACAGTCAGCACGCACACACACACAGACACACTGAACTGCATTAACACTCGGCACCGAACTCTCACCATCTTATTGCGGTCCTCAGATGAGGACGACGACTTGCGCTCCCTCTGTTGACACGGCGACTTCTGCGGAACCTTGACGTTGGTCAGGGAGCCGGGTAGAGAGGCGGGTGGCGTGGCCGACAGCCCTGTGGTGGAGCCTGGAGACGGGTCACGGACCGCAAAAAAAAAAAAAAAAGAGAGAGAGAATGAGAAACGCAGGTCAAACAGGAGAGGAGGAGAAGTAGAGGTGCAGAGGAGGAGAGGTTTGTAGGCGAGGACAGGGACTGAGGCGTCTGAATCAGTCGAGTGTGTCTGGTCACATGCACAGAGGAGAGGTGAGCGAGGTGCTTGATTGGATGGTAGTTAATGGTTTAATCATCTTGACTTTACAGATTCATGTTATTAACTTCTTCAGGATCAAAAAAGGATATCATGATATTGAAGAGAACGTTAGTGAAACTGTTAAAGGTCCCGTGTGTAAGATTTAGGTGAAAGGGATCGAGAGTAGAAATATAGGGGAAAATATAAAATAAAATTAACTGAAGTAATTATTGCAAATTAATCTGAAATGGGGTAATAAAAGTAAAAAAAAATACATATATTTTTTTTAAACTGCAGTTTATATATACTTTATAGCCAATATTGACTGAAAAAAAAGCTTCACACAGGATGTTTTCATTAACAGACAGTGAGTTGAGTCTTTGTTTCCAGTTAAAGGGGAATTCCAGTTTTTTCAACCTGGGCCATATGATTAGAAACGTTGTGGAAATGAATAGCACTTAGAAAAACCTTTGGAATCGGTCCAGAAGATCGCCTTTGTCGCAGCCACGGCTAAACAGCATCGGCTACAATGTAACAGGGACAAACTGCTGCGCGGTTGTGAGTGAGACTACTTCTTGAGAGAGGCCCAGAAAAATAAAGTGAGTCGTTCATTGGCAAAAAGTACTTGTAGTGAATAACAAATAACAATGAAGACTGACACAGTTGCCCCCTGTTGCCAGTTCCCATCTGCCACGGCTGCCAGTGGAGACAATCTACTGGACCACACATTTATAAACATAAGGCCCAGGGTGAAAAAAACTGGAATTCCCCTTTAAAACGTTTATCACATCACATTCTGAACATACAGGCGTTAGATTTTAGTCTGTGAGGCTGATGATGGTGCTCACTTACACAAATGTACCTGATTTCAAATCCTATCACGTTAATTCATTAACTTGAATTGTTTTTTGGGCACAACATCATTAAACACAATAGTTGAGAGCTTGTTTTTCATTTTTGTAACACAATTATTGTCAGTGTTGGTTATTATTGTTAAGTATTGATATAAAAGCAACATAATAAGTGCTAATGTCTAGTACAAACATACAAAGCTATAAAAAGGACTAAGGATTAATTTATAAATGATAATTACATTTAATTGCAATCACAATATTGATGGGATAAAATAATCTTTTCCTCAAAGTGTTTAAACTGTCCTAACCTTCAAATATGTCAGAATGTGCTGTTAAATCCCCTGGTTTACATTCTACACTATAGTACGCTTTACAAACGGACCGCCATCCACACAATCCCAAGTGTCTCATCAGAGTAAAGTGAGATCTCCGTGTAACCCGTGTAGTGTCGGCTGTGTGGTAGAGAGGGCACGAGAAGACACAGAGGAAAGAGAGAGGGCACACACAGTGGATGTCGTGGATGTGACACAGGGTGTGTGGGGGAGTTGGTGGGGGATGGGGGTGGCGGTGGGGGGGGGGAGGTTTGGATAGGTGGGGTTGGGGGTGGATGTGGAGGGACACAGGAACACGCAGAGGCCTAACTACCTCGGAAAACAGGCTCAGGCTCAAAATCAAACACTATGTCATTGGGGTAGGAGTATAGGAGGGGGCTTGAGGTCCGTGTTCGGTGCTTCCTCAAGCAGCGGGCGGGGTGGGTCGGGGGGGCTGCAGGGCAAAGAGAGACAGACAGACCATCACTGCTACTCACCCTGCCCCTCTCACCTCTAACTACTGTCCATGGACACAGCCGAGCTCCCGAATGAGGAGCCCCGCTACCTCCCTACGCTGCCAGCACGCCAGTTTAGCTCTGTTAGTCAGGGTGTCTGCAGGTTTTCACGCAGCCGAAACGATTAAGTGTGTGTTTGGAATCACTGAACGCAACGGGAGTGACTTTGTGTCAGAGAGCGAGGCGAGCAGTAGACGCAGGGGAACCAGCCACCCACAGCGCACCGCAGATTTACTGTCGAACTTCTGGGTGATTTTATTTCCATAATAAAATTACAGCTGAAAAGATTAATCAGCCACGCATGTTCCTCCTGACCTGGCAGAGCAACTCTTATGTAAGACTGGTCTGCACAAGTGGAAGTTATGTCCTTTCCAAAAACCCTGACCCACAGATCTGAAAATCAAACCTACTACTGTCAGTGACTGGCTGCAGGACTAAACAAAACTCCACGCACACACACATCCGCACACTCACATATGCACACACATACACACAAAAGACTAAGAGCACACAGACGCAGGATGGTGGGAACAGAAGCTACAGACGTCTGTTGCTGTGAGTCGTACCTCCATCTGACCGTGGTAAGCTCTGATCTCGAATCAGGTCCTGAAACGAAGGAGGGAAGAAAATCAATCATATGAACATATGTAATCGTACATAATTGTACACACACACACAAGCACGCACATTAAATATTGTAATATACAATGAACTGTAGCCATGCTCTGACAGAAGGTGCACCCATGTTTGTGTTGTATTCACGTTTTAGAGGCAACACATTGAATAAATGTGAAGGGAAATGATTTTAACCAAGTACTTTGGTTTTATTTTTTCTTAGTATTAAAGTAAATACAGGCAAATAACAGGAAAAGGAACCTATTTGGGGAAGTTTCAGATTTAACCAGAAGCCAAATCTGTAATTTTTAAACATCTGCATGTTAACACCTCTAATCTACACAACTTCAAATGCAATGCAAAGCGAGGCTGCCCACAGATGGATTCACCATTAAACACTCAAGTAAGTGCTCCGCAGATAACGAGCTGATGCACATCGTTTTACTGGGAAATGTCCAGAGTAATCTGTAACATTGCTGTGGTCAAGAGTTTATTTCCAAACGGACAAAAAAAGAAAAGGTCTGTCTGATTGGAAACTGATCACTTGGTGGCAGTTCGTGGCTGAGAAGCACACATTTATCATCATAACACCAGCAGAGGGAAAGCAGACTCACGTCTATGTTGACAGGCTCGATGGTGTTAATATGGACGTTAGGGGCCGAGGACGAACGGTCCCGCTGGCCAAACTGGTTGCGGTGGTCCTCCTCGTTGGGCCGGAAACTGGGCGGGATGGGTATGGACTTGGACGGTGATACAGTGGTGTGGCATATAGACCTGGAAAGATAACGTTTGCTAGTAAAGAGTAGTTGCGGTTAAAATGACAGAGAGAAGCATCAGCCGGTGTAAAATTCTGGAATGAATAACTGCAAAGCTGTGGTGGTGGACGACCCACCCCATGGAGTCAGACGGGGGAAGTGACGGACAGGCCTCAGACACGGGGGTGGTTCCCTCTGAGGACACCTCCTCCTGGGTGAACGGGTGATGTTCAAAGAACTTGGACACTAACAATAAGCTGCAGGACACGAATCATCAAGGGTTAGTTAATTATTAATCGTTCAGTCACTCCCAGCCTGACTCAGCACTGAAGTCTCACTTATTTAGAGCTGAATCAGGAAACACTGCAAAAAATGGAGTCAGACAAAAGAAAGCACAGAGCACGAAGCGAGGCCGGATGAACGGTACTGTGGTGTTAGTGTAGTGGAGTTAGCCAAACTATAAAACTCTGCTTAACTTGCAATATTAGCCAGCCTCTGAACGTGTTGATCCAAGAGGCCTGTTCTACTAAAGATCAGACATATGGATCCATCACTGGTGACTGACTGTCATTATGATATGCAGCATCATGACCCCCCCCCTCCTCACCCCCACTACATGTTTCTTATAATCATTCTGATCCCGGACTTCACCTCATCATGCATTCATGGATATAAATCAAAGTTCAGTTTGGAGAATCCCAGACAGTGGCCACGCTTACATGGACACCGATATTCGGATGTTCCCCTGATTAAGCCAATAGTCTGATTTAATTTTGAAATGTAACCAAGATAAATAGTTACCCGCGAAACGATGAACCAACATTGAGTAGTTCTTGTAAGTAGCGGATGAGAAGCTGCCGCTGATCGTTTTTCTACACCACACTGTTAATTCGTTTTTTTTTGTGCCAGACCTCATTACACCCTGACTTCTCCTATGTCATCATCGTCACGTGCCAGTTAAGACATCACCCAACCCTGATCCCCACATGAAACAGATAGACGATGCGTAAAGTTACCGACAGAAACTTTCACATCACTTTCCAGGGAAGCACGGAGAGGGAATACACTTCAGTGTTGCACACCAGCAAATAGCCCCATCCACAAGAACATGCTCTTATCCAGCACCATTCTAACTGAGCTGACATGAGTTCAAACATTCTACCTCGCACAGGTACACTTTGCCATTTTCTTACAGCATGGTGGACATGTGCGGTAAAATCCAAACTCTGAGATCACAGTGGAACCTCTCCTGCGTACAAAATGTTACAGGAGCTTCAGTCCCAACCCGGTTAGAGCATCATGGTGTAACAATGCTGTGCGAAACTCACTCTAGCTGGTCGTAGTTGACGCACATGAGCGGAACCTCAGTGCTGCAGCGCTGGTGGAACTTGTAACCGCAGGTCTGACAGCGGAAACCCTGGAAGAGCAGCTTTCTGCAGAAGTCACAGAAGGCCAGTGTGAAGAAGGTCTTCCTCACCTGTCAATCAAACACACACACACACACAATCAGGACCAGACATGGCTGAGCAATATAATATATATAATAATATATGTTTGTCTGATCGTACTCACAAAGTTGTGTGTGGTAAGTGGCACATTCTCCAACACTTCTACATGTAACTCCTCTCCTGTCAGCCAGGATATGTCTGTGTCCCAGCCAATGGGCTTCTTCTCTCTGAAACAGGAAGTTCCACTGATTTATAGGATGTGTGTGATTATGGAATATGTAAACACAAACATATGTATAAGTACATTTAATACGTTCAGTGCATTTGTAAAATATTTACTCCCTTCACGTTTCACACATTTCGTTATGTTGCTGCTTTTTAACAAAGTGAAACAGAATTCACATAAATATCCAGACCCGTAATTCAGAACTTAGTTGAAGCACCTTTAGCAGGGATTATAGCCAAGTCTTCTCAAGTATAATGCAACAAGCATTGCACATTGGGTTTAAGGGATTCTCTACCATTGTTCTTTGTTCATCCTCTCAAGCTCAATCAGGGTGGAAGAGGACCATCAGCTGACACCCATTTTAAGGTCTCTGCAGAAATGTTTCAAGTCTGGGCCCATCACCTCTTGGCTGAGTGCTTAGGGTCATTGTCCTGTTGGAAGTCTCAGCTCAGTGTACGATCCTGATCCCTCTGCGTCAGGTTTTCATTCAGGATGCTGTCTCTGTATTGTGCTGTGTTGGGCAGGTGATGATCAGTGCCTGGGTGCCTCCACACATCACAACTGAGTTCAAACAGGTTAATCTTGGTTTCACACGACCAGAAAATCTTGTTTCTCACAGTCAAGAGTCCTTTAAACGCTTGTCACTAAAGTGAGGCTTCTGTCTGGCCACTGCCGTGAAGCATTGATTGGTGGAGAGCTGCAGTGGTGGTTGTCCTTCTGCATGTTTCTCCCATCTCCACACAGAATCTGTGAAGCTCTGCGACGGTGACCATTGGGCTTGGGGGGGGTCACCTCTCTTAAGCTGCTCTCAGACATGCACTGGAGGAGGTGTGAACGCAAATGTCCGAGTACCGCAGGCACACAAGTAAAATCATTTAAATATATAAGCAGTCAGAAACTGAATTTTCCAAACTGGCAGAAAGCAGAACAGTTCAGAGATTAACAGTAATTAATGAAAATTCAGTTCAGGACTACACTGTAAATTTTATAATATCACTTCTAATACAAATTCATATCCAAGGGTAGATAAAGTGCGTGATATATAACAAAGACAGTGTAACCTGTCACCAGTGTGTGGCGGACATACAACAAAAGAAAGGGTCAAGTATCAGCATATGCATTATTAGTTAGTCTCCTCCACAGTGGAATAGTGACACACTTACCCATCCTGTATCCTGTACACGGCACAGCACTCGGGGATGAGGCCTCGCATCATCAGAGCTTTCTTCAACGAGTCTCTCACAGTCATCCCACAGCGGGCTGGGACCTGAACACAGCACAACAACACTCACTGAACTGACGCGGCACAGCAGAGGAGGCTGGATGATGGTTAACGGCTAAGTTTGAGTAAGAATGTTCCTGGCGGCCGTCAGTGTCGGTTAACACGGGTTCAGGTCTGTCTGTGTCCGGTTTATCTGCAGCTTTCCACTGTGGAGCTCATCAAACATTCACAACACCAATGTTTTTGATTGATAACCAAAGATTTCACCACATTTGTCAATTTTTATCTAGAATGACCCAAAACTACAGAGTACGAAGAGGCCTTAAATGGGTCAGACATGACTGGATTCTTTCAAATTAGACTAGGTGTGTGTGTGCATTACTGTGTATAAACTATATTATGTGTTTGAGTCTTTGTCTAGTTTGCTTAGTGCTATTTCCTCATATTTAAATTTTAACTGTGAGCAGAAAATCCGGTTTAACCTACTCTGGTACAAAGCATCAAATGGTAACATTTAGGTTCAATGTCCTTCGAAATATAATAAGAATAAAAATAAATATCTATTGCAAATTAAAAATAAATGGTTTCTTAAATCATCCTCACTGACTATGTATCCTCAGAGAGATGTCAGACGTACCACTGTTCTCTGTTTGTTGGGCAGGAAGACCCTCACGATGGGTTTCTGCGGGGAGCGAGGGTTGGCTCGGCTGGCGTCGGTGGGGGTCTGCAGGACAGCCAACGTGTTGGGGGCAGTAGGAAAGGCCTGAGCCCCCCCTCCGGTCCCACAGCTACCCATCTTGACCTCCAGAAGGGCTGGCGTGGTTGTGGGAGAGCAGGAGAAGTCTGTGCCGTTCCCCATGGCCTCCAACAGCTGCTGCTCCCTCTGCTGCAGGGCGTCTAGCTTACTGGTGTACTCCTCATAGGCCTGAAGGGGGCGACACGCAAGAGGGCCCTGACTCAGCTTCGAAACCACAAGCGTCATTCATAAGATTTGTCGTCTGCAAAGTTATATTTACTTAAACCAAAGCACACTTACCTCTAGATATATGGAGGGGGGGTTGTGTTCTCCTCCAAACTTGTCCAGAAGAGCCTCTAAGTGTTCTTGTGTCAACTTAATCATCTGTTTAATGTTCCAGATCTGTGGGGAGAACACACCAAACGTTACAGAGTTGGTATCTTTCAATGAATGAACAACAACCTTAGCCTGGGGCCTATAGAATGAATCTATCCATGACTTAGCCCCAGTGGATGTCGTACTTTTGCCTTTTAAAAATGGCAATTTGTCAAACAAGCCACCAGGAGGCTGAGAAGCTATATAGACATTATAGCTGAATTCATCACCTGACCCAAAAGAAGACTTTTCGCACAACCCAGTGAAATTACTCACGCCATCAGAATCAAGTTCAATATTTAACATATTCAGCAAATTATGAAAACACACATGGTTCATTAATATCCACAACAAAATGTAATGTGTACTTTCACATATTGTATTAATGCTCAGGAGTCTTTGGTCATATTGCGTAGAAAAAAGACGCCTAAGGGTTCATTACTCAGATTAAGGATTTAATTAAACAAACAATAAACCGGTAGAACAATGTACCAACTTACTGACGTCCAGAGGGACTAGGTTGAATGGTAATGCCACTAGAACCAATGCATCTGTAATAAGTAAATGCAAAGATTCTGAAAACGCTGTTCTAAGGTGCAGTGGGTACTGAAGGTACTCTAGATGTTGTAGAGCACTAGGGATATGATTCTTCTGGGACTGACGGGAGAAGCTTTATAACCGAAGAGAATTTCTAGACTGACAGAAAATGCAAAGGGAAGATGAAGAAAGGCAGAATTGGTACAGCAGAACTTCCTACATACACTAAGTGGTTGAACAATCACAGAAGAGCTAAAGCGGAGCATTCTAGAGAATGAAAAGAGGCGGTCCAGAACACAATATGAGAGAAATATTGATTTTGAAGATAACAATATGTAAAACTATTCTAGCAGAGCCCCACATTACACTAACTGTTCAGTTGCTTTGCAGCAAGTGTTCCTATCACGTTCTCTTTCTTTGTTTTCATGTACCTATTGCCTTATAAATGGTGACGGGTCACTGTATATTTGAATTCCATTCACCTCTACTTTGCAAGGCTGTCCCCAAAAAGACAACACATCGTTTCATAATTGAACTTGCAACTTTTGGCTGCCTCATACCGCAACACTGGAGCAACAGGGTGTCATGGCTGTAAACCTCACAAAATGTTGTGTAACACTAAAAACAAAACGAACTGTGATGGAAGTACAAATATATAACGAAACGGGACGGCAGCGCAACAACAGACAGGACGAAAGAGGGCAGCGATTTCTGTTAAACATTCCAGCCCTCGGCTCTGGCACCTGTCAGCGTGAGAGACTCCAGCGTGGCTCAAAAACCGAGATGACCTAGACACCAATGTTTTCTTGGACCATGTAGAAATATGATGTTTTCACATTGCAGATGATGAAGAAAGATGAGGTGACATGAGAGCATGATGCAGGGTACACCTGAGCTAACCTGGCTACACTGTATAGGCAGGGGTGTGATTCAAAAACAGTATTTCTCCGATTTGTTCATACTATTTAATGAAAAATAGACCAAGCAAAATTCATAGTGTGTGAAAAGAAGTTATATTTATTTTGAAACTGACTGCTTGGGTCTGAAAGTTTGGTACAACCACATCCTCTGGCCTCTCCCCAACCCTGACGCAATTTGCAACACTGAGATGGTACAGGTGATGCAACACTAATTTACAACTGTGAGACAAGACTTGATTTCACTTGGTGTAAGATTCTATTAACCTTTATACTGAAAGCAAACTTGGCCTGAATGATTAATGTAGGTAAGTAACGTAAGTTAAAACCGACACTTTTGAAAGCTGAAATTCGACTTAAACCTTAAAGTACCATGAAACACCTCGACCCAACCGATTAGCCGACTAATCGTTATTGATCTATAATCATATGCAACTCTAAATGTGCACGTCATCAAAAATACCCTGTTCTTGTGCCATAACACCTTCATTAGACAATACTTTTGCTTTGGTTTTGAAAGCGTTTCCTCTTCCATCTAGGCAGCAGCTGGTTAGAAATCCTGGCCCTATGATTATCATGCTGAAAACTGGTTTAAACATGACATGAAGATATCTACTTGACATATTAGTAGCTTGAAATATAATTAAGGGGAAACCCCTCAACATAAACACAAGATTACTTATGAGCATCACTCCTCGGCCTGTGACAAATAGCAAATGTGAGAAATGTGAAATTGTGAGTCCCAAACTTCACAACCCCATAATCATTGAACTTCCTTTAAGTCTGCGCATTTTCAATCAGCCTCCAGGAGCTCTCACTGAAGACAGACTGTACAATGTTGCCATCTGTGTGGCCATTGGTGATCAGATGCAATATAGTTCATTGAAGACACAACTCCTATCTTGTTTTTAGGTCCCCTGCCATGTTTGGGAACGATGAGCATTAAACGGAAAAGGGGATTCCAATCTGAGCAATCGGAAAAACACTATTATGTTCATTCAACATGGACCTGCTGCTAATGCTTGCTTGTAGCCTGTATGTGTAAATACCCTGCATTTATATAGGGCTTTTCTACTCTTGATGACCACTCAAAGCGCTTTACAGTTGTTTTTTTGCCATTTACGCACACATTCACATGGTGCATCTATGGGCAGCCCTTTTTCGATGAGGACGGCACAGCTGTCAGGGGCAGCTTTGGGGCTCAGTATCTTGCCTAGGGACACTTCAGCATGTGGAATGGCGAAGACTGGGATTCAAACCCTTCCCCTAAGCTACAGCTGCCCTGTGTGGGTGTTTGTGTCCACCAGGTCTGTGAGCTAGCGTGACCCTGTATGTGCCTTAGTAATAATAATGATAATAATAATATAAATAGTAATTATGTAATGATTTATTTAGCACTTTTCAAAACAAAGTGCTTCACAAATAAGAGACACAGGTAAAAATAACATGAAAACAAATACAAGTGTTTGTGTGAGTTTATTTCTGCTTGGTCTGAAAAAGGCCTGGAATATTTTTGTGTCCAGTAAATATCTGTTAACATTGACACACACACACATTTTAATGACAGGAGCAGCAGGGACATCACCTCCATCGACATTTTGAATAAGGGATGACAGAGATGGTAACGATGACAGCCGGCTGCCCAAACATACAACAAAACTCTTCACTGAGGTGATGAGCAGATTTTAGACGAGGGTAGAGGTCACAGAAGTGAGATGTGAAATAATAGATAGAGAGTCTTTTTTAATGGACATCTGATTTCAGCACTGGTGTGCATTTTAGAAACTTTTACATAGTGCGGTTGATTCTTGAATGTTAAATGTCCTGCTGGTCCAGCGGTGAGCCCTCAGATCTCCAGACTGACGACCGATTCCCAGGCCGGGCTACATGGGACATGGTCACTGTGCTTTAAATGGTGTGTGTGTTGGTGTGTGTGTGTAAATGTTAAATGGTCTTTATTTATATAGAGCTTCTCAAGTCTTGATGACCACTTAAAAGCGCTTCAGGTTTTTGGCCTTCACCCATTCACAAACAAAATTAAACAGTACGACTATGTGCAGCACTTTTTTTATGAGAAGATGCAGAGTGTGTGTGTGTGTGTGTGTGTGTGTGTGGAGGGGGGGGCAGTGATTGTAAAGCATGTAATATGATTAAAAGTAGCCTGTGTATCTCAGTTGCACTACACACAGACACACACACACTAGCACGACTTGATTTGGCTCCCACCTCCATCATCATCATCATCATCATCATCATCATCATCACCATCATCCCTCTGAGGTGAGGAGCCTCTGGTGGAAATTTAAATGTGTGCACATCAGACTGCACACACATGAAATGCATTGGACAGCAGTGTGATTGTGTGTCTTTGTTGTGTCAACAGCAATGTGTGTGTGTGTGTGTGTGTGTGTATGTATAGTTATGAGGACCAATTTTTGGTTCAATACCATCATTGTGGGGACAGTTTGGCTGATCATCAATTCAAAGGGTTGTTTGGGTTAAGACTTGGTTTTAGGGTAGATGTGGGTTAGTGTTTGGCATTTAGGAGTGATGGTTAGGGTAAGGGTCTAGGGAATGTCTTATGTTAATGAGTGTCCTCACAACTAGAGAGAGACAAGTGTGTGTGTGTTTGTGTGGAGAGACAAGTGTGTGTGTGTGTGAGAGAGTGAGTGAGTGTGTGTGTGCGTGTAGGTGTGTAGAGAGACAAGTGTGTGTGTGTGTGTGTGTGTGTGTGTGTGTGCGTGCGTGCGCGCGCTCTGTTGGCGCACCAGGCTGCAGCTGCAGCGAGCCTGGAAAATGAAGCCAGGAGCGAGTGGAATAAAGGCCCGAAATAAACACAGGCTCGGCCGAATAAAAGCTTCCCCCTCCCGCTCACTTGGCTCTGTCGCATCGCTCTGTCCACTGGAAGCCGGGGGCCGTGGGAGACCCAGCGCAACGATGGCTCGTTAACACTGAGCCCATCGTCTGTTGCCCCCTGCACTGCAGCCCCCACGATCCATGTTCCAGCCGGTGTTTCTTGAAGATTTACATCCAATTACCTCCGCTCGGAGCCCGTGTCCCCTGCCTAGCCTCCACCCGCTAACCCGCCGCCGTGCGCGCTTACCTCCTCATCCTGCGGACCTCCGGGGATCCCCGGCGCGCAGGAGGCGTCCAGCCCGGCGCCCAGCTCCTCCAGGCCCGGCTCCCTGCCCGGCTCCCGCTCCGCGGTGTCTCCGTTAAAGACGGGCGGTGGGGACTCGGCGCTGCTCAACGCCGCCATTTTAAACTGCGAGAAACTGAGTGGAAAATAATAGAGGGAAACGCAGGCTGGTGCTGAGGACAGGAGGGGGAGACAGAGAGAGAGAGACTCAGGACCACAGCGCGGATCTGTGGATGGATGGCACACAACCGCTACTCCTCCAGAAATGTGGGATCATCATTAGGATTGTCATTATCATGACCTGGATTGTACAAGCCCTCGCTATAATTTCCACTGGATGATGGAAAAGTGAAAGTCATCAGCAGAAGTTAAATATATATTCTTTAAATTGACCACGTGGTGCTATAAAGAATCTAAAGGTTCAAATGTGCACAGCTTCATTTACGAGCTTTTACTTTGGAAACAGTTCATCTTGACTTCTGGTTCTCTACATTTCTGTGGTAGGTGAGACGATTCTGAGAAATTAAACCCAGAACTTTGTCCGAACAAAAATAAGGCACAATTTTGAGGAGAAAAAAGTAATAATTGTGAGACCAAAATATTTTTAAAAGGATACAGAAATGTCTTGTTCTAGTAAGAAATAATTCATTCTAAAATAAAAACAGTTAACACCATTCCAATTAATTAAAAAAAAACTATACAATACTGGAAAATGACCACATCTGGTTGACTTGGAGAACAGCTGGAGTCAGCTGGAAAATTCTCATTTTGTTATCTAAGTGTTCACTCACATCCAGTTCATGTGTGCACTAGAATTCATGATCCAGATGTGGAGGTAGGCCTTTCTAAGTGATGCTGTATAGAGGGACACACTCGGGCTGAGGAACCAGAAGGGTTGGCAGCTCAATCCCAGTCTCCCATGCTTCATGTGCTGAAGTGTCCTTGGGCAAGACACTGAACCCCAAATTGCCCCTGATATCTTTAGTGGCTGTGCTAGCACATAGATGCACTGTATGAATGCTTATGTGAATGGCAAAAAACACCCCCAGATTTATTGGAAGTGGTGATATCACGTGCACAATTTAACATATGACCAACATCCATGTATTGTGTTAAACAACAGACTTTGTCACTTTATCATATTGATTTTATTTCGAAAACATAAAACATATCAGTTTCTCTCCATCGTTTTTCAACCATTCCTTTGACAGTGGAGCTAGCAGCGGCTAACAACCTGTGAGCTGCCAGCATTACTCCCAAAATGTGATTAATCCATGAATCTTTAAAAGACACGACAGTAGAACTTTTAAGTCCGTCTGTACGATCACAGTGATCAGTGTGTTTATGTCACGTCGTAGCTAAAGACCTCAGCATTAGGTACAATAATAATATTTTCTTCATACTGGAACTCGAATACAACAGCTCATACACGTTCAACTGTAACAGGATGGTATTCACATGAGCACAACAGACATAGAGGAGAATGTTTCATGCTGACCTCAGGTATTCTTCATGCCAACATAATGAAGCTTCAGACAAAACAACAGGACAGTCATGACCCCACCAATGGAATTCTTTCAGGATTAGCTGCCCCCCCATACAGACATACTGATAGTGTACACAGTCGACTGTTATCTGCCTCCATAAAAAGACAAAAAACAATTTTAAGTCCTGTCAAACGACTGTAGAATGCAGAATTGTCACAGCTCATTTCTTTTTGCCCGCTCTCTTCCCCTCTCCTTTCTTCGGTTTCCCTTTTCCTCTTAGTTTCCTCAGGCGACGCATTTCGTCTTTGAAGTCTTCATGCTCGTCCCTGAAAAGTAAGGGGAAACATTTTTGAAGTGCCCATGGTGATACAACCAAACTTATATTTCTGATTTTCTTCTTTTTAACCCAAACACCAGTGTCACTCACTGATTAATTGGACTCAGCCATTTTGTTTGATTGCTGCAAAGCTAATGTCAATGAAACTTATCACTTCCTGCATACAGGCCCTGTGTTACATTAAAATCCTTCCAGCAGCTCATAGAATCTAATACCTCCCTCCCTGGTGGGCTTTTAATGCAAAATACTAGCAGGAAGTAGTGACAGCAATCAAAACCATTGCAAAGTAGAGGTGAATTAAATTATTCAATGATTGAGACACAATTATAATGAATTTAACTTTGCTTTTCTCAATGTGGGACTTGATTTTTTTTCAATTTACTTTGAATTGTTTTAATGGAATGATTTCAGTGGGCGGCTTTGGCTGAGGGGTAGAGCGGTCAGTTGTGCTGAGTTAAAAAAATAAAATAACATTTCATTTTATTGTTAACAAGGCAAATATTGTCAAAGATCAAACCACAAGACACAACCGGAGTCATCAGTGTCTACAGTACCTGAAGAGTCCCATGAACCTGAGCTTTTGCGTCATGGCGAAGTAAATCTTGTGATGAGGGTACCACTCATACACTTCCTTAGTCTTGGCCATGGGGGGTTCCCGGAACAGCTGGACCACCTTCATGGATTTGGGGTCTGTCGGACGCACAACTTCGCTGAAGATCTGCGCGCTCAGCCTTCCCATGCGGATGGCGTAGCTGGACAAACCAGCCATGGCTGCAGAACAGAACAGAGAGACCTGTCACACAGAGAACAGATACAACGTTACGTGTTTTTAAACACATCTGTATGTAGTGAGCAGGACAGCGTAGTAACACACTTGTCACTGCTCTGTGATGGACAAACAAGAGATGGAGACACTGTTTCTAAATGACTTCAAATCTTTGACTATATTCTATTTTTTTCTGTATTGCAATGTCTTATTACAGATCTACCAACATTTTAACTACGTCCATACAATATATCTCTCAAAAGATAAATAAGATGCTGCGACCACACCTGAGCCCTAATGTTTCATACTTAAAGTAACATGACTATTTTGATAACTCACAATTATAATTCCACGTATAAGCTATTGCATTTTGACTATCGGAATGATGATTTAAGATATCTACACATATGCTTGGCTTCAACTGCTCAGAATTCATTTTGGATCACAATCTATATCGAATATTTTTAATATTAACATCTGAAACTGAAGTTATGATAGGTCCAAACTACGACTGAGATATCTTGAATTTGAAAACTCTCATGATAAACAGTAACATCTTACACTGCACATATCATACTTCATTATCATCATTGTCTTTTTATTTGTATAGAGTAGTTTATTGATTGTTTCCTTATTTTATCCTAGAACATGTAAAGCATCTTCGAGAGCTTTGAAAATACCTATATAAACCTGAAGTATTAGTATTTATTGTGGTATAAAATCAGTTCTTCACACTAGTTTAATCCAATCATTCCATCTGATTCATGATTCCAACAACACATTTGGAAGCCATGTCTTCACTGTCGAAGTGAAAGAGTGCATGCATGTGTTTACATTTTGGTAGTTAGCACATTAAAGCTAAGTGTTAGCAGGGACCTGACTTCACATGAGTGACAGAAGAAACAACATGGCGTCTTACCTCAGTCTGCAGTCAGTGGAGAATAATTAAAGTAATCAACCGTATTTAATCTTAGTTAAATCACCACAACTCCATTTATTTCTCACTAATGTTTAAGCTCTGGTATATTCTGTAACCTTCACTCACACACACCACACTGTCTCAGGCTCTGACGCGCATGACACTTTTCCGTGGAGCTGATTGGCCAGCTGCGTTCACTTCCTGTTCTCCGCTATTCCACTTTCTAATATACTGGTTATATTCAACTCACGCGGATGTGAAAATGATTTCAGATCATAAAGAATCGCAAACAACGTAGACTGGCCGCCATTGCGTGTGTAGTTAAAACGTCTCCTTTATGCGACCAAGCCCTGACAGGAAGTCCGTCGCTATTAAAGAGCCGTGAGTTTGAGGCGCGTTGCAGAGGGTTCCGCTTGTCAGACGTCGACAGACAATGCGCTGTAAGTTGCAAAGTTTGTTTGTGATGTTTACATTCTACAAACGTATTGTAGTTCATCTGCATCACTGAAAGAAAAGACATAATTGATAAGATAGATATATAAGTGGTAAACAGAGTTTTGAGTGTAAATGCTAATTGCATTTTGTATATTTGAATGTGGAGGTTAGATATAGTTGTGCATACCTGGTTGACCCAACAAATATGGATTAATATTCACATTCACCTTTTTTCACCATGCATTTGCTGAAAGCTGTTCAAATACTTGCATTGCTTAAATAAAATACATTTTAAGAAAAGCACACACACACACAGACTTGATTTAGCTCCCACCTCCATCATCAACATCCCCTTCAGCCCTGAATGAATACGTTTTGGGCTTATCCCAAACACAAACCTGTATCCTTGTGTCAGGAAGCATTTTAATTTGAGCACATGGGGTTTATGTGAGAGTTTGAACTGTTTGAAAATGGTTAAAATGGATTTGTGAATGGACACTGATTGCACCAGAGAGGGAACAGGGGGATGATCAGTGAAAAAATCTAAAACATGTGACTGTGTTCACTATGTTACATAAAACTTTGTTTTCTGATTGGGCTGTGTTGTGGTCTTATGAGAGATGTTTTCATTTACGTTATGAGCTCAGTAACTTCACTTCCTGTATGTACCTCGTCTGCACCTGTCCTAATGTGTTTCACCTGTGCTCAATTATTCTGCCTTCCTTGTTCCAACGGTCTCTGAAAAGTTTCCCTTTGTCTTCAGGACGTCGTCTGTTCATGTTTCCAGTTTTATTCTCCGTCATCGGTCTACTTGTTCTTTTGCCTTATGGAGTTGTATATTTCCAGTTTATCTACCTGCCATCCAGTGACTGTAAGTCTGTATATATGTTTTTCTTTGTTGGTCAGTCCGTCATCTATACATTTGGGTCCTGGCAACATTAAACCCAGTCACTTTGGTTCAGTTGACGTGTTTAAATATATCTGAAGATGTCAGAAAACATTTAGTTCTCTTTACTTTGAGAAATTGTTGGCAGCCTAGAGAGGATCTCAGATACTGATTAGATTTTTTTTGTTCTATCAGAGTTAAACTGAGTTTATATGTGAGGGGTCGTGCAACTGAATATTCTCATTAGAGCTTCTGTGGGCAGACCAGCAGGGGGAGCTGTAATGAGAGTGGAGGAGGAGGCATCAGAGAACTGCCTGTGAGACTGGGTTTAGGAATCTTTGACGGAATTGAAGTGGAAAACACATGATTAGACCAACTGACTGTGTATGTGGACTTGGAATGTTATAGAATGGAGACTGGAATGTTAAACACTGTATGTCTACCTTTGCAAATAATTAGTCCTCGCTGGTGTTGTTTAAACTGCTCATTATAAACATTTGAAACTTCGGTGGGTTCTGGATCTGATAGACTGGTTCTGGACAGAGTGAACAGAGCCGGCAGAGGTTACCGAGGTTCTGTTTTACCGTTCACTCTTTCACATACACATTCACAGGTTGCATCTGTCTCATTTTCTATCATGCATACACTGCACAGCTGGATTTGTGGCTCAGTATCTTGTCCAACTACACTTTATACAAAATGGGGAGACACGGATTGACCTGCTGACCCCCTGGTTAGTAGACCCGGTCTATCTCCTGGGCCACAGCTGCCCACAATAGAGGGACAGACCATCCAAGAGGACAGGGAAAAACCGAAGAGCATGGGGGGAAAAGGAATGTGCGGGCGTAGATGTAATCAGCCCGTAAAGGTTGTTTGCAGGAACACCTTGGTCCTGGGACATGTTCGGACAGTGAGCTCTGTTTAGATGAACATTCTATAACTAACATACATTCATATTCCTTCAGGACAGACAAATTACACATTTGAGTTGCAGATGAAGGCCTTGGATTGGGATTATATAGGGAGCTGTTTGTGGTCGTGACAGATTAAATACAATTTATGCTGATTTAATTGTTCCCCTGTGGAGTTTTATTTGTGTTTTTAGGTGTATTTTACTCTTTCACAGAGTATGCATTGTGTTATATTTGGGCCTCTTGAACAGAGATAAAGTAAAGTCAGAGGAATATGTCTGAATCCATCTTAAATTTTCCCATTTTCTCCCGTGCAGAATGTACAGGACCCAAGGTTGAGTTATAGGACGATAGATAACAACAGGAGGATGTCTATGATATCTCTGCAAGAGGACATTTTCTTGGAGACAGATAGAGAAGTAGCTCCACGTGAAGAATAATGGATTCACTGTGATGTGGGCAGATTATGATACTATTTTTTTAATATATATTTCCCTCAGTCATCTCAAAATGGAAACAGCCCTCAAGCTCCTCAAGCACATGGGTTGTTTTATGATCTGTTGTCAGCAGTTATTGTGATGAAAGGAAAATACACAACGAAATATAATCAAAAGTACATTTGTCTGAGCATGGGCTCAGCAGTGGAAAGAAAATAATGTTTGTATTATAAAATGATGCTGTTTTTGTAATGTTGAAAATGTATTTGACAATTTGGCGTTGACGACATCTCTTACATTTGTGTAGATGAACTTTTAATCCATCGACATACAACTGTCATGGCAAGAGGACCATTTCATTTTTCAACACAATAAATATTTCCAGTAAAAATAACTTTCCAAACCCATTGTAGGTCACAGTGAACTACTCAAATTAAAACTGAGAATGGGTGTTTTAATGAGGTACTTATTGCTTTACTTCAAATTGAATATGGTAAAGAGACAAATACTTAGTCTGGATTATATGGTAGATTAGGACTCACTGCAGTGTCTCGTGGAACATTGATAAATCTGTGGATAAAAGGCTTCTATAATACAACAAAAAGGCCAAAGTCGCTCCGAGTTGCACTGAACCAAGGTTTTCTCTCCTCATTCCAATATTTCAACCCGGAGCATCTGAGTAATGATCTGACACTAATGGTCTCTTTCTCAAACATGATACACACCTCTTTTTAAATGCCTGTTCATATTTCAGGTGATAAATTAAAATTGTGCTTATTCATGAATTCATTCTACTTAACAAACTGTGGCCAAAGTGTTACAGCAGCTGCAGAACAGTACATTGTACGACAAACAGTACACAAGGACATGTCATGTAAGACCCAGAATAATAATTCAGAATAAAAGTGAGTTGAACTAGAAAGTGGGAACATTTTTAAGCATGAGCCCTGCAAATTCAATTTTCAATTCAATTCAATTTTATTTGTATAGCGCCAAATCATAATATACATTATCTCAAGGCACTTAGCAGGTCAAGACCTTAAAATCGTATTAATATAGAGAAACCCAACAGTTCCCACAATGAGCAGCACTTTTGCGACTGCGGAGAGAAAAACTCCCTCATTAACAGGGAGAAACCTCTAGAACCAGGCTTAATGTGAGCGGTCATCTGCCTCAACCGGTTGGGGTGAGCAGAAAAAAAGGGGAGGAGAGATGGGTGGAAAAGAGGGGAGAGAAGAAAGAGAGATGGGGAGGAGGGGGAGAGAGAGAGAGAGGCGAGGAAGACCAGGAACACTTGAGCACCATCAGGTATCAGATCTGACAAGTTAAAATGTAAACAGTAACAGTGTAAAGACTATTAATTATTATACAAATACATTCTATCTCGTATTCTTTTTTTATTGTGTTGGACATTTTCCACAGAAATGTCCATTTTCATAAAACATAGCAGTCTCGTTATTTTTAAAGTGTGGTTACCATTCTTTGAACAGAAGAGGGCGCCAGATAAAAAGAAACTTCAGCCACAGACTCATTTGGACATTTTTTAACATTGACTTTAGCAGAGTGACACTGCCTGACAGCTTCCACCGGAAATAAAAGGGTCTGACAGCATGGACTCCGGTGGGCAAAGCGTTAGAAATCCAGTTAATTCCTGCATTTCAGCTACACCTGAGGGGCTGAACAAGCAACCCTCCATATGTGGTTCAACCTGGAAACTTAACATTGTATTTCATCATGCAAACACATACAGCTCCTATCACCACTGAAAAATATTGTTTGTCATAATGACTATGAGCCGGTGGATTTAAAACCATGACTCAAAGCTTCTTTGTAGTGAATTGTACCTGTAAGTGTTCGGCAAAATGAGTGACATTGACTAATGGTTGAGTAGTGGAGATAAAGTGACTTGAGGATGAAGCCACAACAAAGGAACCATTAAAACTCCAACAACCTTTTGACCATGTGAGAAAAAAGCTTTTATTTCCACATCCCGCAGACATAAAGCTGCATTATCATTCATTTTGACACATTTTTGGCCATTTCGTAAATGCAAGTCCAACATTTCCTCTCTTTCAGCTCTGGTTTTGTCTATTCAGCTGCTAAATGCTCCACTATATTCAACAGTCTGTGACTCTGTTGTTTGGTGCTGAGCAGATACGGTTTGGTTTTTCTGTGCTTTTTTTCCGTAGCTTCCTTCTGCTGTTGGAAACAAGTTGAGTACCCAGTTTGTGGGGGGTACTACACATTTGGTTTGTTAATGGAAGTGACATATTTCACTTGACATGCAGTCACTTGATCCATTTGTGATATAAAGATATTGATAGTCACATATCCAATCTGCTGGATTCAAGAATATCTTGTGTTGCGGTGCTGAAAAAATGACAAATTATGAATTCAGATTGGAAAGAGTCTGTCCTTTGTGAAGCTTGAAAATAACAAATGTTTCTGACGACTTACCTGAGAAAATAAAAAATTGAGAAACATCTGAGGTCAGCAATCATCACCATTACCTTTTCTTAAAGGTCCAGTGTGTAAGATTTAGGTGAAAGGGATCTATTGGCAGAAATTGAATGTAGAATAATTCTCATGATGTTTTCACTAGTTCATTTCATCTAAATTGTATGAATTGTAATTTTCTTTACCCCAGAAAAGGCCCTTTATATTTAAATACTTTATATTTACATCGAGGGGACCCTCGCCATGTTTTTTACATTAGTCCAGACTGGACAAACTAAACACCTTTTGAGTTTTTATGACAATTAAAGTCTACCACAGTTTATTTTTCATGTTTGGAAGGAGAGGGTGAGGTGAGGGGGTGTTCAGCTGCAACATGCAACTTCAACACTAGATATCACAAAATTCTACACACTGTACCTTTAAGTAGATTATTGTACCTGTCATTAGTAAGATTCAGAGGTGCTGAGTCACCTGCCTTGGACTGAATGATAGCCAGACTACAAAATGAGAATAAAAATGGAGCTCAACTTTAACTGAAACATCACTTCATCTGAATGACTTAATATCCTCCCCAAGCCTGAAGATGATAAAATATGGGATTGAAAATGTTTGCTGTAAATCAACTCTTCAACTTCAAGAGGCTCTGTGCTCAGGATATAAAGTTTTGTCAGCGGCTGATAGTGGTCACATTGAGAGGCAGAGACTGTGGTGTTGAGGGGTCCTTTGTGCAAACAGATTATTATGACCCTCATAATTATATGATTATTATGACAAGAGCAAAAGGAAGAAGTTGGGTTAAATAAAAAGTGAGAAAGAATGTGAGAGACTGTGGAATTGTTGGTTGATTACCGAAGACGTCATATGGGACACTTTTCATATGAAACTGTCGATCATCATTGTTTACTTGTAACCAGCTCACTTGTTTGTTACTGTAACCATTCTAAAGAATGAGCTCATTAGAACCCAAACCTTTATCTTTCCCTGAACCTAACCTATGGTAAGGTGCACTGACAATACATGAATACCAATGGAGGCCAAGTGAACTGTAGAAGATAACAGCAGAGAGCCCTGCTGGTATTTAGCCCTCTGTCATAATTCCTGTATAAAAGCTGCATTAGTTATCCATTATGGGTGAAGTGTTTCAGTCCACAAAACACTTTTGGAGTTTCAGGGGTAAACAGCATTGCAGCCAGAAACTTGGTGTAAATGATCCAATACAATGAAAGTAAATGGTGACCACTTCTTCAAACAGAATTAAAATGCCTCCATACTGCTCCTGTGGTGTCATCCAAGTGTCCGGGAGCCCCGGCATTCAAATGCAACTTGAAACTAGGTCATATACACCATGTTTATTTACCCCTGAAACTCCAAAAGTGGCATAGTGGTGAGTAGATGAGTGAATTTTAATTTTTTGGTGAACTATCCCTTTAAAGCCACCATAGACTCTCCTCAATTTGGTTGCAAATCACAACTTCACCACTAGATGCCACTATATCCCACTCACTAAACTAAACTAATTTCAGCTAACCTGTAGATTAATAATCACAATTGTATTACATGTTCAAATCTGGTATTGATACAGGATTTAATATCAAGCTCCAGTATAATAAATAGGGGCATTGTGGTATAGTGAGTCAAATATCATGTAGCCTGTAAGCTAACGCTGATCTCCTGCAGGCTGCCTGCTGTTGATTGGTCCATGGACAGGCCAGCTCTGTAGCAGCTGCCGTCATCCGGTCAGACGTGGTGTGGATGCTGAGTTCGATCCCTCACTCTCCTGCTCCCTTTGGATCCTCCAGGTACATTCATCCATTCATTCATCCGGGTCGACAATGAAGTTTGAGTCCAGTGGTGGTTTAGTGTTCTCCAGTATGACGTTGTACATGTAGGCTGAGGGCTTATATATAAATGCATCGGCACGATTCTCTGTGTAGCTGCTTCCACAATTCCCTCTGCGCTCCTCTGTGTCCACCGTGTTTCCAACAGGGCGGGTTACGCGCTGAGGTGTGTGTGTGTGTGTGTGTGTGATATATACCGTGCGCTGTGCTGATGTGTTCGCTGTGTGTTGCTGTCGCCCTGCTCAGACAGATGGATGCCGAGGATCCGCGGCTGAGATGAGATAAGCCCTCTCCTCATCTTATCTCCGCCGAGCTGCTGCAGCGCCGCAGGAGGAAAAAGACGTGGGCACGTTGTGACCCGTGAAAACACTGGAGTACACTGGATATTTGTGAGTGAGTGAGTGAGTGTGTGTGTGTGCGTGCGTGCATCTTCTACTTTGGGCAGTGAGCCGTGTCACCGTGAGCTGCGGAAGCTGTGCCTGTTATAGACGATGGTCCCCGCGCTCCTCTCCAGAGGTGATGTGAGCTGAACCCGCCGGGCTGTGTGGGGGGGAGAGCCGCAGAGGAGCTGTCCGTCTCTTGAGGTGCTGATGCGGCTGTGACCAGCGAGCATGGCTGCCGGGAAGTTGCTGCTCTACGCCGGGCTCTCGCTCTCTCTGTGCGCCCTGGGCATGCTGGCCGTGGCGATGTGCTCCGACCACTGGTACGAGACCGACGCCAGGAGGTACAAGGAGCGGTGCCGAAGCTTCTCCAGCCGCCGCAAGGACCCGGGCTTCATCTACATCCCCAACATCAGCCTGCCGCTGCGGGCCAGCCGGAGCAGCGCGCCCCGCTGGGAGGAGAAGCTGCTGCTGGCCCGGAACCGGCGGCAACTGTTTGCCATGAGCGCCGCGGACGAGTGCAACCGGCAGTACAACTCCACCAACATGGGGCTGTGGAGGAAATGCCACCGGCTCGGCTTCGACCAGGAAATCGAAGATCTCATCCGGAAAGGTAAGGGATGAAATGATGCACCCAGGGATCGGGGGGGTTGTTGTTGCAGAAACAGCAGCGTGCACCGTAGACCCCGAGCATGCTGTTACATGTATCATTATAAAAATCAATCCGGGGGCTGCTCTGTGGTGATTGTCCATTTGACCAAAGGGCGAGCAAGGGCATCGAGCTGTTTCCTCGCTTTGATGGGTATCAAATGTTGGTTCCAGAGGCGCCGCTGCCTCCGTGTGCGTGGGTACATGCACGGCCTGTGGCTGTAGACGGCTTGTTGTCACGCTCTTTTGTAAGAAAAATGCGATGGTGAACAGTAGCAGACATGTTCCATCTAACTGTAGCTCTCTCTGACCCCGCTACTGCAAATAGCAAGCAGAAGGATTTGCTCAGCTTCCAGGTCTGTGTGTGCGTGGCTGGAAGCACCTACTAGAGTGACCCCACGCAAAAATAAGAGCTGCCCAGCCGCTATTAAGAGCCCATTCCTCCCACACTGTGGATGAATACGATGTAATATATCCAGGAATAACTCAGAGGGATTTAGATTTACTCATGACTAGATATTGACAGAGGCCCATTTTAAAGACAGGATCTCAGTGGCAGTTGATTAGCAGGAGACATATAAAAGATGGTCATAAGGATTAATCAGGTTAAGACTTGATGCTTTTCCAGGCTTCATATCTGTGTACTCTGAAATCCTTAGAGTTTTTGTTTATGCAGATGATACTGGCTTTTAGAGGTGGATACTGTGGTATATATATCGCAAAAAGTCTTAAAAATATATATTAGCGAATGATTATGATTTATTTTGGGCAATTAAAAGATTTAACAAGTTGTCATTATGTTACAGTTTCAACAATATATATTTAATCCAGTGTTTTGGTAGATTTTTGGCTTTTGACCCAGTGAAAGGTGACAACGTCAAAGGTTTTGACCATAACCTGCATGTGAGAATGAGTATTTTTTTCCATCTTAATCGAATCAGGGTTTTGTTAAAGCCGCGCAGGTGAAAATATCCTGTCACAAGGCAAAAGCAAACATTTGAAAAGGATTGTAAGAAAATAAATGAACTAAATATGTGTTTGCAACCCCATAGATTTATACCCTCAGGCTGAAAACCAATGATTTAATCAGTTAATCAAACATAAGCAATAAGCAAATCAATCTTGAAATCAGGAATCATTTCAGGAGGCGTGAAGGGGTGTTGGGAGAAGTTTTTATCAAATAGAACAGGAGGAGGAGTACATAATAAGGGATGAGATATAATAAGGGATGAGATATAATATGAGGGACATATGAGCTGTTCAATATGTTGTTCGAGAGCCTGTTAATTCTTTTGCAGTTAAATCATAGTCAAAAAAACAGCATGAAGATTGTTTTCTTAAAAATGCGTCGATAAATCTGCTTCAGTACAAGTTTGCACTGATGCCCTTGCTGTTGATAACACTGCTGTGTTTGAAAGACAGAGAGGCTGAGGTTTGTGATGGAAGTCACTGCTCTGAGTCTAAGCCGGAAGAAAGGAGGGTGTGTGTGCCCCCTGAATGCACGTGTGTGAGTGTGTTTGTGTGTCTGCTGCAGCTGTGCCTTCCTTTGAGGACGCCTCAATGGCCTGGACGGCCGACCATCTGCAGTAATGGGCAGCCCACAGTCGGTGTGTTCAGTGATAAGATGAATGCCTCCACAGAGGGGCCTGAGCTGCTCCGGCCCTCTGCTCCGTCAGCATGAAAAACAACAGCGTGGTCCGTCATCGTGATGCATCTCCCGGTAGCATCACGTTGATGGGTCAATAAGGATTAACACCTTTTATCTTTGTGTGCTGTACATGGGCAGTCGAGTTCACGTTCAGCTGCGGGTTCATGATACAATGACATCCAGCAGCAAACAGCAACACCTATAGCTACTGCTACTCTTACCTGATACTACTACCCCCATTTCTACTACTTGTACCAATTCCACTGCCATTACTACTGCCTCAACTAGTACAAATTCTGTCAATACTCTTACCTATACATCTACCACTACTGCTACTCGCACTGGTCCTGTTATTACCAGTTCCACTGCCATTACTACTGCCACAACTAGTACTAATTCTGTCAATACTCTCACCTGCACTACTACCACTACTCTTACCTGATCCTACCAGTGGGGAACCTTCAGGGCCTTCTACGCCTAAATACAAGTAGGATTGTACTCGCACTGGTCCTGCTATTACACTTACTTTTACTGCTAGTACTACTTATTCCACTGCCATCACTACTACCACTACTTCTGCTAATTTTGTCAATTCTTCTACTGCTGTTGCTGCTTCTTCAACAACTGCTATCACTAGTGCTACTGCTGCTACTCACACCTCTACTTCTCTTGCTACTACTTGCCTACTTCTACTTCTTTCTGATACTCCATCAACCTCATCTGATGTATTTTTGTTACAGTCATGTCAATGACATCTGCTACTGCTACAACTATTACTCTTACTCCCAAAACTACCAGTACTAACCTACAGCTCATTATATTGCAATATCTACTCCCATTAGTGCCAATGCTTCTATTCATGCTATTTCTATTGTTGCTGTTCTACTACTGCTACTTCAACTACTGATCCCACTAGTACTACTGATGCTACTAGCTGCTCAGCCCACTATTACTGCTCTGCTATGGTGCTACTTCTTTTACCACTACTTATGCTGCCTTAATGCTATAGCATCTGGTGAAACTGTTCAGAGTAGTTCGGGGTGACCTGGGGACCTTGAACTGAAGACCTCGCTATGTCCGAAATGCTAGTTACGGCCCTGGAATTCCAGTTTATAAAATATTCATGACATGCATTTACTAAAGCACTGTTCCTTTTATATTATAGTAGCTCTCCTAACCATATGTAAGCCCTTCGCCCTGTCATCTGTTAACATGCATTGTAGATAAAATATCATTTTCAGAGGTGAAAGGTCATAACAGCTGCCCACCACATGCTGTTTCACTTTATTCCATTTAAATCTCTGAAATCAAATCACATAGACACAGGATCATTGTGGCCTGCTGTTTCATAATAACATCTTCCTGTGTACACATGAACCTGACACATGAATCAAATAACAGAATCCATTAATGCAACGATGAGCCGCACACACTGTATCTGAACCCTAATGAGCAATTTCCTGGCCATTTGAATGAGATAATGATATTTCTTTAGTATAAATAAACATGATAATTGTTATATCATGTCAGGAATGAATCATAACCCAACAGCATATCTCATACTGTCTCTGTACACAGATATCATTAGTCTTGATTCACCCTTGCTAATAATTTCATATTGACCAATTCTGAAACTCTAATTTCTCTGAGCTCATCCATCTCTCTGGCGCACACACTAATGATGCTTCAGTGTTCAGCCGGATCAGCAGCATCCATTCGTTTCCTTATCTCGGAGGCTTCTTGCATAACCACAAGCTGCATCTTCATGCAGATTAATGGAGGCAGGAGCGTCGGGGAGAGTAGCAGTGTAAACAGGTCAACGCAAAACACTAAACCCTCCATTTTAATGAGTTTTGCAGATACAGCCTGAGCATAATGTGCGTGTTGGTGAATACCGAGCGGGTTCTCAGAGGATGACCAATGATCTCCCTCAACAAAGCCCATGAAAAGAACAAAACTAACAATTAATGGAGCCTATAAACCTGTATTTTAGAGTGCATCCAAAGTCAGATATGTCTTTTTTCCTTGTGATTCCTGATTAGGTCGGTGACAGTCAATCCAAAGGAACATCATGACATAGATAAGGAACATATACTGCGTGGGCCAGTAGGTGTAATTAATTGTTGTGTAGTCATCCTCTCATTTAAATAGGTTGCTGCCATACCAGCGCCTAATTGTCGATGTTCATTCCAAGTATGGCTCATGGTGATAAACTGAACAGGTGGCATATGTAATCTTGGTTTTTGATGCCGTGACTGGGCGCTCCCTCTCTCATTCTGTCTGTCACAGGGAAAGACCTCCTCAAGAGAGAGTGGAAGATAAAGAGAAGAGATAAAAGAGTGGCTGAGAGGCACCAGGCTGAAAATAAAAAAAAAAGTGGTTTTGAGACGAAGGATGAGGAGAAAGTGAAAACGCCGAGGCTGGAGGATGTTAGGAGAGGATTACAGAGAGGAGTCAGGGAGAAGTTAGGGGTGGTGGGGGTGGTGTTGGACTCATCTTGCACCATCTGTTGTAGCTCTGTGAGGGAAAAAGGCCTTTCGGGTCCTGATCAAGATACTCACAGCTCTGTCTAAGCAGAGAGGCCCTGGATTGGATTACCTTACTCCCCAGGGGTCTTGTATCATAGGGAGGGCTAAATTAGACTCTACGGGAGGCTAAAGGTGCCTCATAGATTCCCAGCCAATGAGCCTGCTGGCAAAGCTGCTCATCTAATAGGCACAGGCAAGGGGCTGGAGAGCGGGTGGGGCGGCTGCCCTCACTTCCAGTCTGACCCACTGCTGGATGACTATTAGTGGAAGTTAGCTGGAAGCGGATCATTTGTTTTTCAAGGTTTAATTATAGTGACAATGACACGAGGAGTGGCACGGCGGGGCAGTGGTTGCCAGTGCTTTTCTGTGTGGAGTTTTCATGCACTCTCTGTGCCTCTGACTTTTCCTCTGGATACGTCACGCAGTTTCGGTTAATTGGAGACTCTAAACTCCCTGTGGGTGTGAATGTGAGTGTGGATTGTTTGTGTCTATCTATTGTACCCTGCCTGAGATTGGCTCCAGGGCCCCTGCGACCCATAAAAGATAAGCGTTATCTGAATGAATGAATGATCGCTAATTGTGTGTGTTGTTTATCGGAGGTGTATGTAGCCTATTGCATCCTACAGATATCTGTATCTATCCTCAAGGGTAAAATATCTGTATATATTCAGGCTATTTCTAGTCTTGATGACCACTCAGAGCACTTAACATTACAGTTTTGCCATTCATCCATTAATACAGTGCATATTTGTGCAGCACTTACTCACATCACTCACACACTAGGGGGTG